GCATGTCGCTCTGCATGATAGCCCGAACACTTCGTGCATTAGATCGATTCCCCATGAAATTTCGAACTTAATTCCCTTTTTGAAAGAATCTTTCACAACCGTGGATAAGAAAGAAATATTGACAAATCAAATTGTTGACAAATCATACACTAAGAATCAACCAATCATCAGGAGCATGGCGACCAGGGTGTTGGGGGTGCAGCACCCTAATGTACATGTCGGCAAATTGACTCTTGCACACCCCCCCCCAGAAAATGCCTTCCCTACACCGCTGCCAATCGAACATGATTGAGTGATTGCTTGCACATATCGGCCACTTGCACCAAACAATATGCTTGAGTCAAAATAGGAAAGATGAAAAGTTGTCTTTAAAAATTGTTATATCTGACATGAAAAAATCATTGTTTATTTGCAGTAACCATGCGAAGGTCCATATTGCCTGTGGTTTCAGCCATCTCACTGAGTGCTGCCGGGGGAATTCTGGGATCGTGGTATGAAAGATCAAAGCAAAATGCTACCAACAGTTTAACCTCCAAGCGTACAAATGATGACTTACCCAACTCCAGATGGACATTATTTACTCATGCGGAGGCAACTAAGAAAGATTCACCAAGCCAGCCACCTTCTCAGAACCGTTCAGGAGAAATCATGAAATTTGGTTTCCCCGATCATGGCCAAGTTCAAATGCATGATAATTATGTAATCTCATATGACAGAAGGATGAGAAATGCAAAATGGGTTTTTGAATGCTTAACAAGAGATGAAGTCAAATACAATGATGCTATTGATAGGACAGACTGTCAGTTTGAAGTGGACCAATCGGTGCATCCATTCTTTCAGTCAACCAATGAGGATTATAGGGGGAGTGGCTATGACAGAGGTCATCTAGCAGCAGCAGCCAATCACCGAAGATCAGGCGGAGTCATGCAAAAGACATTTCTACTCAGCAATGTTAGTCCTCAGGTAGAACACAAAGGCTTAAAAAGAGCAAATAAGTTCTTTCTTGCATTTCTTCATTATAATGACTTTCAAGAAGCATTTGTAGAAAGAATTGTACATGTATTTGGAAATATTTGGCATTCAGATTTGATAGTTTACATCTTATTAACTAGGTTTTGCACTGAAATAATGTACGTACCACAGTTGCCATTAACGTTTGTGGAAGTCACTAGCTAGTGGTTGCAACTGTTGCCCACTGATGTTTGTTAATCCCAACCCTGGCTCGGTTTGAATCATCAGTTGCCTGTTTGAAATTTAATGCTTGAAAATTTTCAACTCATCTTTATTCTAATCTCTGAATTCACCAGGTTGGTGAGGGTTTTAATCGTGGCATTTGGAACAACCTGGAGAAGTATGTTCGGAGTTTGACGAAGCTTTACTCAAAAGTATATGTGTGTACAGGACCACTATACTTAGCACAGTACGTCTACATTTTTACATGTCATCTGTGTTGAATAACCTTTACATTAGAGCTTGAGTTAAGGAACTGGTATTATTGATCATTCATTTTTTCATAATTCCTACCATTTTAATGTTAATTTATATCAACAGCCAAGAGACCAACCGAAGGCGATATGTCAAATACGAAGTGATCGGTACCAACTCTGTGGCAGTCCCTACTCACTTCTTTAAGGTAGTGCTGGGAGAAACAAAGGATCAAATATATGATCTGCGAGCATTTATTATTCCTAATACAGCCATGTCAGATGATACACCACTGGAAAAGTTCCTTGTCCCAATTGATGCAATTGAAAGGGCTGCAGGAATATTAGTCTTTGAACGTTTGCCAAGGAATCAACTGCGATCAGTAAATGCTCCATTGTGAATGCAATACATGTATTGTGGAGACAGACAACTTCTCTTGGATGGAAAGGATTAGATGTTACATAATTATGCAAATGTTGAAATAAACTATAATACAAGCAATATTAGTTAAGATATAAGATGTTTAGCAAGTGGCTTAGGGCTGCTTTCTGTTTGCAGCGCTTTCTGTGTTGGGAGATACAGGTTTTCATATTAGAATCATTGAATATGTATATTTTAGCATAATACTGCAGTGCACTCAATCTTTTGAAATATTGCCAACGTTAAATTCAATTTGTTTTCATACAGTTTATTCATAGATCAAAGATTCTTGACGATGCCAAGTTAAATCATTGTGTGTTGCATGTATTAATTTTATTCTCATATGCTGCAATTAAGTCTTAAACTGGAACTAATAATTAGAAGTTATACACAAGTAGAACTGCAACAAGTGGCATAGGAACATTTCAACAATTCAGTGGATTATAAATACATCAAATATTTAAATGACAACTCCATATAGGGACAGGAGACACCTGTTCTGTTTTTTGCTCTTTGCAATACTGCTTGAGTAGCCCTTTATTACAATAAATATTATGGCAACATCAACATTACACAGAGTTGTATTCCTTAATGTATTCTAAGTTGAGACATTGATCACAGAAAAGATTGTAAAATAAGGGTTTTAGTCTTTTGGACTGTCAACTGTAGATGGATAGCAAAGCTTTGGGTTTACTGACTTTTCTCCAATGCTATTAGTAAATGGAAGTATTGAAACATATACATGTATGTACTTCAGTTTGACATTAAGTTTAATAAATATAAAGATAATTAAATGTTTAATGACCACCAGTAGGTTCTACCTTTTCTGTGATGTATTCAGTCACACTTACCACACAAAACAATCTTGTACTGTGTAGAATGCCGAGCATTTTAACCAACTTTGTAAACCAACATTTGAAAGATATGCACCTAATAATGCACTGCGTTATACTTCAATACTTTCCCCAGAAAGTGAAATTCAATCCTAATGTGTAATGTTTTTCTTTCCTTTCATTATTTTGGCAATAAAGTTTTAAATTCCTACTTTGAGAAATCTTGGTCTTTGGGTAAAATCTGCTGCAATATAAATGTATGAAGTACATGTCTACAAGATCAGGTACTTGAAAGCTGCCTTTGCTGCAACTGTACTGAGTGTTGGTCACTTTTGCCATGTTTAAAAAAGAATGCTTGAATGGCACTTGCATTCAAAACACTAGAAATTTCTGAGATTCAAACTGTTTTACTCTTCTCTGTGAATTAATCCTCTTAAAAGAAATACTTTAACCCTTGCTCTATGAGTGCAATTTACTGCCAGTCAGTAGTACTGCCAACACACTGCAGTTGGAGTCTTTGCATTACCAGTGGTGTGATTTTCAAACTCCCAGTGGAGTGCATTGGAGGATAACCTTGTTATCCCATGAATGCCAACAACTGGAGTGCCAGGGAGGACAATTGGGTTCTCCAGTAAAGTGGTTCACTTACTTTTGAGACACCCTTGGCACTGTCAGTTCACAGTGAACTATGAAAAATGACGAATGAAAGAAAGCCCTGGATTTTTTTACTGGGCACTAGGAGGGGAAAATAGTCTGTTTTTATTATTAGTGACATTTTATGATGTAAAATGTTACTTGGCATAACACTTTAGTTGGAATTAGCATGACACTATAATATAGCATGAAATTGCTTAGAATTGCATGACATCAATGTTGGTAAGGCTATATAAGACCTGCAAAAACAGGTTTTTTCAGAGTACATCCCCTTTCCATAAAGTTGAGAGTCCTGAAATTGCT